TATCAAATTTGATGGAAGGTTCTGCTGTTACCGGAGGGTTATGGCGCCAAATGGCGCCAGCACCGAATGTGACCGTGATCATGGCGGCACCGGAGTACCCCTATCGGCGGATTCCTAGCGAAAAAATATGAGTCCTGGGGTTGCAGTAGTTCGACAGGGCCGAAACATCGGCGTAGAACCACTTTTGTTCTGTAGAATGGTAGGTGCGAATATCATTCCCCGATAGATTTTTATTGTAGTTCTTGGGTACTGTACTCACGTGTTGATTAAGTCACATATAAAAGAGCAAATATTGCAGACGGGTTGCTGTGCTTTATCCTCGTCTCTTCAACAATTGTGATCGTCGTGATCGTTACTGTGGCTACCTCGTGGTTTATTCGAAGGAATCCGTTCAGATATGAGAGGTGATCCTAGCAGCTTCTTCTTGAAGATAGTTTTCTTGTGGCAAAACTTTTGTTAAGATTTCCTTAACCTAGATTACCATGCTTTCTACCTTTATTTTTTGATGGAAAATCAAAAATTTAATCTTCCACTCATGTGACCTTTACACCGGCCTTGCTGTATAAGAATTATTCGAACCGTTGCAATCAATCATGAAAAAATCTATTTATTAACAATCAGGTCTTCATAAAACCAGGAATCAATGAAACATTTTTGCTTTCAGGCTTATCACAGATGGAGGTGATTCTTCTTCGAGTTTGGCTGATCAGTAGTTTGTACCACCTTGCCAATTTCTACAGACGGACTATTTGTACTTTGTAAAAAAATTGTGTGCCTTGTACAATAAATCGTTAAGTCTCCTATTTGAAGTAAAAAATCGTTAGACCAATGTAGATGACACTGAAGGCGAAACCGCTTGCTGTATTACAGAAGGCTGTCTGGCAGAAACAGTGTCGCACGACCTGCAAATCAGTAAATATTAACAGATGCATAGAACACACCCCTCGAGCATATAGTGCATAGTGCAGTTCCGTTCACTGCGGGCATATCCGCGGGGATGAATTCTCGCGCGGCTCCAGAATTGTTTTCCGTTTCGCATGATGCTTCATGGTGGAGAACACTTTTTCGCCGAAGCAAACCCAGCCGTTGACACGGTTCCAGCATCCGCAGCGAACAAGGTTGTCTATGTAAGGTACGTCAGCTCCCGAGCTCTAATCTGCAGGTTAAGTCACAACCTGCAGTTAGAGCTTGGGGCATAATAAAATACTTCTACCTTACATACTACATTTGCCGACATTGAAGGCACAATGTCGGCAATCACACAGCGAGAAGGATTCCTCCCTTGAACAAGGTGGCGCTGCCTGTAATCGCCGAAAATGTATCGCTATCGTTGCATGGTAAGAATGATTAGGGTGCTAGGGATGCGCCACGTGTATCGAGCTCCACCTCTGAAGTCGATCTTCGTGGTGTACTCATGGAAGCAAGCAATATTTTAATGGACCTCCAAAAATTTTTCCGATTTTTCCATTGCTGAGCTGCTTACGTTACCACCTTCACATTTACATTTGCACCACAATAGTCACAGTTTCTTAGTGTGGAGGCTAAACCAAGGCGAGAATTAGTGGGAGCTACCTGAATAATCTGCAAGGATGGACATTCCAGGTAGCTGTCATAAGGCCTTACAGTTCGTTTTTTTTTGAGATGCACCGCAACAGTTTGCATATGCGTTCACAGACACGTATTTTATCGATGATTTTGGTTCTACATAATTGAACTTGTTGCTTCCTTCATTTATTTCTGTTTGCCTTCCTAGATGCTGATAATTTTGGGGGTTAGGCATTTAGCATTTGAAGCAATCTCTGCGCAAAACTGGGTTTCCCATAAGAATGGGCTTATCGCACTACAACTTGCTCCACCTTTTCAGGAGCTTATTCCCTTTGAAGGCAGCGTCCGCGTTCATTTGATGTTCCTACGCCCTCCTTAGATATCGTAGCTTTGTCGACAAGGGTGGAGGATGTACTAATTTCGCAGCTCAAAAATACGAGAGGATGGCGCCACCCGCTTGTGAAGAGGATGCCGCCCCGCCCACCTGGCTGCCATAACTGCTTTGGCTTAGCCTTTAAAGGCACGTTCCGCGATAAACTAAGGCTAGGTTCTCATAACCGTGCACGATGGTCAAGCAGGCAACGTCAGAGGCTATGCTGCTTTTAAAAGTTGAAAAACAGCAAGCAAAACGCAGGGCGCTCAGGTTTTAGGCCCATTGCGCCCGATAGGCCCATGCCGGCCTCCAGTGACCGTGTCGTTGTGAGATTGCCATTGCTCTCTCGCCCGTCATTTTCTGGCCTCTCTCGTCTCTTATCAGTGTATCGCCGCCTTTTGCAATCCACAATTGATCTTGACCACCTTACGCTCGTCCGGTGATCATGATCAATTGCAATAAAGAGGGTCTTATTGCGGGCGGTTTTTGGTGCTTCCTTTTCCTTCAATATGTCAACAATCACACGGCAACTTTATTTT